GGCTAATGTCGGCTTGAGTCGACTACTTTTTTTGCATTTGGGTTAAAATATCTCAAAAACTGAACATCGAACCTGTATACTATAAGCGAGAGAAATGTTCAGTGTTTCATCCTATTTGTATTGAGATATTATTCCAAATTGAATATATGTTCTCCACGGGGTTTATATTAATTCAGACAAATATTCTGTGCAATATTTTATTTTTGGATACATTTAGACGTTGTTCCTCTCAAAAGATATAATGATATATAACGTTAATTGTGTTACGTTAGTTATTAATTGTATTATTACCTGCAATACGTGATAGTTTAAGCCAAGTTGTGCCTCATAAATAGTACGTCATTCTTGATTATTTTAGCTAACAGTTTTACTGTCTAGTAATGATTTCTTATTTTGTTACTGACGATTACTAAACATTAGAACAAAAAAATAACATAATATGACATAAGAGATGCGTAGGTTAAAACTTAAAATGGCCACGAGTAAGCCTCTTTCTGAAAGTTTGATGTGAATGTAAAAATGTGTTACATACAATAATAAATAACGCTAATTGTTACATTAGCTGTTAATTATATGACTATCTCTAATACATGATATTTTAAGTTCGAAGATTGAAGTTGTTTTCAAAATACATTTATGAACAGATGAACAACCAGTGAGTGTGCTTTCGTGAAGGAGAGTATGGAGACGTTGGAAGCCGTGAGGAAAAGGAGTGCCCCGCGGCGACCCTTCCTAACCTGTTTTGATATTTACAGTCAGTGGGAGCATTATGGTTGTGGCCATACCTTGAATTAGTATGAAGTAGTTATTGTGAAATATTTTGTACTGTGTTCGTATGTGGTCGCTAACTGTTGGCATCTGTAGGTATTTGTATAAAAAAATGTTACTAACGTACCATGGAGCTTTAGTAGTAGTCCTAAAAGTTTTTGTTTGAAAAGTCTGTAGTTTATTACGAATGTGAGTCTTTTTTGCTGTTCCGTATATCTGTGAAGAAAGAGCCCAAATGGGCTTATAATAAGTGTATGTATTCAATTTTTGACTAAATTTTAATTTCGAACGTCTTGAAAGAGGTGAATATAGCAGTCGTAGTCTTGGGTTTGGTGTTTTTGTTTTGTTCTCTATATGCGAGTCCCCATGTCATTATAAAAACAAAAAGAAAGGACACAAGAAAAAAAATTATACTGATGACTGAAATTGATCCATATATCGAATAAAAAAAAAATGTACTCGTATTTTATATACATTTTTTAACTGATAGTTATATATGTAAAATTAAATACAATGACTTGTTAGCAATTCGAAGCCATTATCACCTTACCAATTTTCTACTAATAACCTTAAAAATACAAAACTTATCTCAAGAGAAGTAATTTTTTTTAAAACAAAAAATAAGTAAATTATTAAAATATCAAATAATATTACACTAAAATTTTCCATCAGCATTACTTTGACAAATATTAATAACGATAAAAGATAAAAAAGTGAAAAATTATATATTAATAAAATTACGCCATCGAACGAGATTAAAGGAGGGGGGAAAGTGCAATATCAAAGGCAGCCATTTTATGGTTTCGTTATTAATACTGTATATATTTTTTTCTTTTTACGATTCTCATTTCTCGGTTTTATTACCCTCCTTCCAATTTCATGGTGCACTTTTTGTATTCAGTTTCATTATTTTACATTTTATAAAATAAAGTGGAGGCTATGAAATCAAGTTTCAAAAGAGCTGATGTTCAATCTAACCCACCTCATCCGCCAACCCTTCGGAAAAAAAATTTAATTACTGTCAGTCAAAATTATTGCTCCAATTTATTTCTTCTATAGCGGCCCCCTCTTCTACCATTTTAAAATGTACTTAATTTTTTTTCGTTTATTTTATTCGATCACTTTTTATTTCGAACATATTCGATAAATCATTCCATGCCCCCTAATGCTTATTTTCGACGTTCCAATTTATTTGAATTTCCATATAAATTTTTATTTTTCAACAATATAAGAGAAGATTATCTATTCACCTTTTTTTTTACGTATGTTCATTCATAATTCCGTCATCATTGGACGGATTTCAGTGAAAAGGTATACCTCCCGGGTAATCAGGATCAGATGAAAACAAATTAACAAAAGCATATGAAAACAATTCCCCACAGATGTCCACTCCAAGTATAATACTTTCATTCAGGAGTCTCCAAACTGCGGTCTGTGGGACACATCCGGCCTGCAAGCACCTCCAATCGGGCCCGCGAATGTTTCGTGGATTACATGGTAAAATTTTTTAAAATTTGAAATTTACTAAATCACACAAGACGAGGTTACAACGTGTATTGTATGAGTTATTTATTTTAGAAAGCTTATTTCAGGACTGAAATATCATTTATAGAAAAATATTATTTTAATACCACAACCCCAATGGCCAAAAAGTTTGGAGACTTCTGCTTTAGTTTTCAGTAGGTGTGTAGAGGTTAGTTTTCAGTTATGTCACCAGTCTATCGAAGGTTCGTCCAAGACAAAGTAACGTGTCAGTTTGAAGAAGTTGATTGTTGTCAATATAAACTGGAGTACAGGTGTTTATTTCATGATGTAACTATTTTACCCACTTTTTTCCGAATTTTCAATATTTAAACAGACAGAAACTTTTTTCTTTTTTTTTTTTTACTCAAGGTCCACGACAATGACAATAAAGCCATTCGGCTTCTGTAAGCCCTATATATACATATATGCAGCCCTATATATGCCACAATGAAACTCTTCAATTTAATCGTTTCATTGCTAGTATTTGTGCCTCTTAACATAAGGAAAAATTTTACTGATAATATCTGACAGAGCAGGACACACTAAGAGACCTGTTGTTTAAGATAATTCCTAACATATTCCTTGTATAAGAATGCCAACCGAACTTGTAAACTCTCGGTAATTGATTATGACAGAAACTGAATGTATACTTACTCAAAGCCATACAGATATCCCAAATCGTTAAAAAGACCCACCTACAAAAACTTCGAACTTTCAATCAAAATTATGATGGCTCATAACGAAAGCACCTTGGTACGGAACTAACAATATCCTACATACTAAGCACTATCTGCCAATATTTCAGCAAAATATAATGACTGCTTATCACTGATTTTATTTAAATTTAAATGGCCATACCGACAGTTTAATAACAGACATGGCAATAGCTGACATAGTCTTCTCCTTCTTTGTCTTCCTCCTTAGTTCCTTTCAGCGTGGAGAGGCCTCATGGTCATCACGGTCCTTCGCCAGGTCTCTCATATGACCCAACTGCTCGCCTCATTTCTGTCCGAGTTTACTTATTTCGTCAATCCAAGTTTTCCGTGGTCTCTTTTCTGTGGGTCTTGCCTCAAAAACTTTTCTGGGTTCCCTATCCTCGTCTATCCTCATAACATGACCGAACCATTTAAGCGTTTTCTTTCTCACGGTTTCCAGCATTGGTGGCACCTTAACATTTTCTCTAACCCGTTCGTTTCGGATGCAATCTCTTCTAGTTCGGCCAGCTACCCTTCTCAGATATTTCATTTCGGCAGCGGTAAGTCTACTTTTGTGCCTATCTAGAAGGACCTAGCAGCTCTCACTACCGTACAGTAGTGTTGGAAGATAGAGTGTATAGTATATATATCTTAGTTATATTTTCAACCTCTCGTTTTCCTAATACCGTGTTGCAGATCTGGTAATAGATGCCAGTTGCTTTTTTTATTCTGTTTGATATCTCTTGGTCTATTTTTCCATTTCTGCCAACAACTGTCTCTAGATATGTATATTCTTCTGCCAACTCCAGATTATTTGTATGTTATCGATTACTCGAACTATCTGCATAATCTAACTTTTTTCTTCGTTTATGATGCTACCTTTTCTCTCAAGCTCAGCTTCCCATTCCACAATCGCTTGCTGTAATTTTGCGGATGAGTCTGTTATTAGGACAATATCATCTGCGTAAATGAGAGCTTGGGCTAGAATTGTTCTCATATTCCATTTTCCTATAATTGTTCTTTTAGTTCTACGTTTACAGATTTTCAGAATCTCATCCATAAACACAATATATAATACGAGGCTGAGAATGTCGCCTTGTTTGATCCGTTTGACCCCCATTAAAGCTGACATAGTTCTGAGACTAAAAAGGCGCAGGTTGAGATATCTCCATTCTTTAACTAACATGGTAACTGAATTAATCCAGGGAGAGGCGATCATCAGTGAGATTTGACTATGAAGGTCTGTGTCACGAAATCATTGCTGCGAAATTTCGAAATTTCTTAAAACAACAATTTCCAAAAGAAATTACAAGATTTTTTTTTAGAAAATCTTGGTATATGTACATTTTCATTTCCATTTTTCTTCTGTTTCTCGTCCCATTCCAAAGGTATAAGCCGGATTAGTGGGTAATGAACCTGAAGGGATTGGACCAAATGGAGTACTCACGAATCAGAACAAAAAAAGTAAAAATACAAAAAGCTTTAGAAACAGTACTCAGCACGGTACCGGAAGCCAGATGAATAATCTCTTATGTAATTTTTTTTATCAATAAACATACTAAGCTACAACATTTCAAAATATATTGACTTTTTTTTTTGTAATCAATAAAATCTTACCATAAACAAGTTATGAACACAATCCGTTTCTCAACAACATTTCTTCCTTATTATTAATATAAATAAAAAATACATTTAATTGTTTCACATGAATATACTACCAATTTATAAACAAGAAAATGATATCCATTTACAATATGTATTGTAATATAAACTTTTGACTGCATTATCTCAGATCTACAGATCTTTGAAACATTAGTTATAGCAAAAAATTTTCAAGCGGTGGTACTACAGTGGTATTTGAGAGCATATTTAAAAAGTTTAATTATATGAGCCTTCATTTGATTTATAACCTCAGAGTATCGAATTATTTTCACTTGTTTTGAAATTTTCAATTTTAAAAATCTCGAAACATCATGTTAATATGGTTAATTTTGTTTAATGTTATCAAAACGGATGCTGGTAAGATTAATACTACATTTTAAGGAAGAGGAACCACGCGTAAAATCTATGCTGTATGATTTATCATTTAAAATAAAGACTCACCTAATAAGATTTGAAATGAGGTTTCAAACATCTCTCCAGCATCTTCGGTGAGTATTTTTCGATTAACACTTTTAGTGAAATTCGACTGTTTCCACAAGTTTTAATGTACTTAATTGGAATAACTAATATACCGAAAATAATATAAATTGGATTTAAGGTTTGGATAGAAGGTTCATATTTTTTTTCCTTTTATAAAGTATTTTGACATTGCAAGACCTACTGAAATGAAATGATTTTTCGGCAAGTTAGTTCCTTAATGTAATTAGTATTTTTTATTAATTTATGAAAATTTATAACAATATAAATATACTAAGAAGCGACCCATTGGTGAAATTTCAATTATATTAATTTAGAAGGACTCCTGGACATCTTCTTCTTAGACGCCGTC